TAAGACTTGCCCAAACCGTTCTAACAGGAATGTAGCCTGTGTAATCCTATGGGGTTGTGAGCTATGCTGGCGATGGTACATGCCTTCGGTAGGATCGCCCACGCCAGACAGGTCAAAACAGCAGGGTCAGACACAACACATCTGTGGGCAGGATGAGCTCGTTAGCCTTCTGGCAGTCATCCTCGGAGAATGACAACTCTAATCCCAAACCTGGGCAGATGGAGCTCGCTTAGCCCCGTAAGGCCATCCATCTAAGAGAAGGTCACTCTAAACAAACCTACGTCCTGAGGACCTCGCTGCCACTGTCCAAGCTTGCTCGGCCCTGGCAGATGAACCTCAGGATTAAAGGGTGGGTTCAGTTCCGTGCATATTGCATCTCACCTAAAAATCCATTGCGCAGGCTTGAAATATAGTGAAACAGTTTGCATTTCCCTTTTCCATGTTAAGATCTGCTTCTGAACAGTTTATCTTCCTAGCATACGTAAATGGACACCGTGTCTGAAGTTGATGATGTGAATAATAAAAAAATGGGAAATATGTATATGTTTACAAACCTGTATCTTATCCAGCAACAAATTAGTTAAGCAAGATCTATAAGCTGTGTTTTGCCTCCCTAAGATGTTCAGGTGAGATAAAAGCTCAAGGTCTTGCTCCAAATGCTCACTGTATTTCGAGAAATTCAAAGACAGAACCAATCTCCTCTGCTGTTTCTTTTCTGTATAACAGACTAAACCAATACCTCCAGTAAAAACACTCCTGCCTGGAGTGGGAGGAAAAAATTAGTGTTGACAGGGAATGAACTAGATAATTTTCAATGCAACATTCCAGAAAACGTATCTACGGAACATGTCCAGTTCCTATTTACTAACCAGAGAACTAGCTGCAGCTGTTTATTATGACTGGTTGTGCCTGTTTGATAGTGTGGAATCATATTGGCATAAAGATAAAAGGGAAGGTGATAGAGAACAGAGTTTAGCCATGCTTTTACCATTAATTAAAGGTAATTTGAGAGAATTAGATATAATTTGTTAAAGAATTCTTTCCAGTAAATGGCAACTCTGATTTCACAATTAAAAGACACTGCTTGCTATGACTTTCAAGGCCATACCTGTGGGGGTAGTGTCCCTCAGTAGACAGATCTAATGCTGCTGTGAAAGACAGGTGTTTTGTTAGGTTTCAGCTATACCCTTTCACACCTGCAAAGCCTTAACGGCAGCAGTGATGCTAATGAGGATCAGGTGCTTTTTCCACTCTCCAGACAAGGAACTGGCATGAGTGTTACTGTATGATATCTGGGAGCCTTTCATTTGTATCTGCAGATGGGCTTTGAGACTTGCCATAAGGTGCTTTTTCAAACTAATAGTGTGGAAAGAAGCTCAGGTCTGGAAGAAAGTTCAGTGGAACAGTCAGGTATGGTCAGACAGGGAAAATGCCAACATCCAAGCTCATGACAAACGAAGATGGTGGCTATGCATAGAGCGGGCAAACAATTTATTTTAAAAAGGGTACTTCAATAATACCATTGTCTATTCTTTTCATACTGGGATCTGAGGCAGAGACCTCAATATACAGAAAGTAGCAATAAAGTAGCTATAAAACCTGCAAAACAGATGTTGAAAAGATGTCATATTAAGCCCAATTGAAGGACCCTTATTCGCTTAAAGTTTGAAAGTTTGCTATTTATTCTGGAAAATAATAATAGATACCTTCAGCAAGGTTTATTTTTAATAAAACAACTGCCTTTATTTGTGATTGCACCTACATAGTTCTAATATTCCATTATGGAACATGAAATTTGTTAAAGGTAATTCCTAACAGAGCAATCTCTCCCACTTTTTTCCTTTGTATTTCCATGTGTTAGTTTTGACGTTCTCCACTCCCTGCAATTTATAACAGTTAAAGAGAAGTTAATAATGGCTCTGAGAAGGGGAAAAAAAAGAAATCTACTGAAAGAGAAAAGAAAGGGGAAAAGGTCTACATTCTCAGCAGGAGCTTAGTTAATTACCTGACTCCTTTGGAGCCACCTGTGGCACATGGCACTACCTCAGTGAAACAATTAGCATTTCTACACTGAGGGGGAAAAAAGAAGAATGGCCAAATACCAAGATGTTTGACACGGTGCTCAACTCTGAAGTCCAAATTTAGCTAGAGCAGACATGAAGGACTGCAGATATAGGGCTTGTTTCTTTCTCTTTGCTTTTTAAATACGACATTCTTGCCCTGAACGGAGAGAGTGAGAGGACAAGAAAGTTTTGTATAAGGTGGAGTTTAGAAAAGCTAAGCTGTGGTGCAGTGCATGTAAAATAGTATTGTGCTGTTCTGTTTATGAATCCTCCTGTACTGAACTCTGATACAGCAAAGAAGCAGAATGACCCTCTGTTCTTTCTTTCCCTGCTCATTTGTTACCGACTTTACTCTCTATTTGGGATGCCTGTGTAGTCCTTGGCCAAAAATTTCTTAGGCCACAATATATATAAAACATTTGAAACCAACAAATCAATCTGCATATACAATCTGAGCATTGTGGATCTACTTCTTTTTTTCCCTGTAAGTCGGTCAGCCTCATCTTGATCCCTGGGATGGTGACAGAGCACCTAGTCCTGGAAATATTTCCAAGCACATAAACAATGAGAAATTATGAGAAAATCATCAGTAGCATGGCTTCACCACAGGAAAATAATGATTGGCCAACTTTACAAACTTCTACAACAAAATGACTGGCCTAGTAGATGACAGGAGAGCAGAGGATGTTGTCTACATGACTTCAGTGAGGCCTTTGACACTGTCACCCATAAGATCCTCTTAGACAAGTTGTTAGTGTTGGGCTGGGTGAAGTCAGTGTTGTGGGTTGAAAACTGGCTGAATATCGAGGCCTGGAGAATGGTGATCAGTGGAACTAGGGCCAGTTGAAGGTCAGTAACAGTGGTGTAAACCAGGGATCAATACTGCGTCCCGTTCTGTTAAATATATTCATTAATAATCTGGCTGATAAGTCAGAATGTATCCTCAGCAAGTTTGCTGCTGACATGAAACTGGAAGGAGTGGCTGATCCTGCTGCAACCCAGAGGGACCTCAACAGCCTAGAGAAATGGGCCTACAGGAACTTAATGAAATTGAGCAAGCAGAAGAGCAAGGTCTTGCCCTTGGGGAGGAATAAGCCAATACAGTACTGTATGCTGGGGAGTGCCCAGCTGGAGAGCAGCTTGGCAGAAAAGGACCTGAGGGTCCTGGTGAACCTGAAATGGAACATGAGGCAACAATGTGCCCTTACAGCAAAGATGGCAGACGGTATTCTGTCTTGCATTAGCAAAAGTACTGCCAGGAGGTTGAGGGAGGAGACCCTTCACTGTACTTCACTCCCCCTGTACTCAGCACTGGTGAGGCCTCATCTCAAATCCTTTCAGTTTAAGGCCCCTCACTACTGGAAAGACATGGGGGTGCTGGAGCATGTCTAGAAGGGCAACAAAGCTGGTGAAGGGTCTGAAGCACAAGTCTTGTGAGATGTTGCTGAGGGAATAGGGATAGTATAGCCTGGAGAAAAAGAGGAGGGGGAGACTTTATTGCTTTCTAGAACTACCTGAAAGGAGGTTGTGGCAAGGTGGGGTTCTTGTTACTTCTCCCAAGGAACAAGTGACAGGACAAGAAGAAACAGCCTCAAATTGTGCCAGGAGAGGTTTAGAATGGAAATTAGGAAATTTCTTGTTGAAAGGGTGGTCAGGCATTGGACAGGTTGCCCAGGGAAGTGGTGGAATCACCATGGCTGGAAGTGTCCAAAATGTGTGTGGATGTGGTGCTGGGGGATATGGTTTAGTGGTAAACGTGGTGGTGCTGGATTGATGGTTGGGTTTGATGATCTTAGAGGTCTTTTTCAACTGTAATGATTCTATGATTCACCTCTCCTCAGCACTGGTGAAGCCACACCTGTAGAGCTGAGTTAATTTCTGGGCTCCTTGGTACAAGAAAGACATGGAGATTGTCCAGGAAAGGGTCACAAAGGTCATGAAGGAACTACATCATCTCTTCTTTGAGTAAAGGCTGAGAGGGCTGGGGACTGTTCAGCCTAGAAAGAGGAAGCTAATCAGGGAAATTATTAGGTATATAAATACCTTAATAGAGAATTCAAAGAAGACAGAAACAGGCCCTTTAAAGTGATAGCACCAGAGGCAATAGACACAAACTGAAACACAGGAATTTCTCTGTGAACACCAGGAAGCACTTCTTCACTGAGGTGACCAAGCACTGTTGCAGGTTGCCCAGAGAGGTTTTGGAATCTCCATAACTGCAGATATTCAGAAGTTGTCTGGACATAGTCCTGGACTGCCTGCTCTGGGTGGTCCTGCTTGAACCAGGCAGTTGGACCTGCTTGAGCAAGACAGATGACCTCCAGAGGTCCCTTCCAACATCAACCATTCTTCTGAATATGTAATTCCACAATTCTGTGATTTTTACCTCATCCTTCTTCTCATCACTAACTTGAACAAGTCATACAGCAGCCACTGTCTTCCTAGCAGTAGAAAAAACCCCAAACAAATGCAAGTGTAGATGCTGTTTATGTTAATGACCTTTGGGACAGCAGTTAACATTGAGAGGGTGGAGTTTTTCTGTAGGAGCTAAAAACTGATTAAATGATATGTCCTTTTCTTCAGTGACCTCTGAATCAAACATTTTCGCACAGACATTGTAACTTCTTTAACTCCAGCCAGCATACATTCTAGGACAAGAAAATGCTCTTATTGAAATTGTTAGAACTATTACTATTAATGTTTGTGTTAGTGCAGCAGTAGTTTTATATATTAGTATTAAAAACCTCTGCAGGGCTATATATTATGTCCTTCTTTTTACTTAAAGTGATATTGTAACTGCTGTCTTTTATAAGAAAGCTTTAGCACCCCAATCTCTGAGAAATATCTATGTTTTTTAGAGAAGATTCAAGAATACATATTTAATGTAGTTTTGAAGTCGAATCCATTAAGAATATTCTCCACAAATTTGTATTTCAGTGAATGTGCCTTTCTGGATCCAGTGACAGAAAAAGAAGAAAATATTGAAAATTCATTGGAAATATGTTCCAATGAATAACCTGCACCAGGATGATTACACTTGGAATGAAACAAAGCAGACAATCAGACCAGGTGCTTTCAATAGTCTTCCATTCTGCAGTATACAGTAATTGTGCTAGGAGTGCAATATATATACTCTATATATACAAATACAAGTGAGACAGCAATCATATATAACTGATTAATTAATATTTTTCTTTGTTTTCAGGTAATTTTATTGTAACAATCTGACATGGTGTTTTATTGTTTTGTGGGTGACTGCACAAAATTATGCAGTATGGAATTATTTGAATGAGCAGAAAATGGAGATACAGAAAGCTTAAAGGTTATGTTTTATCTAGATTTTAGAATGTTAAAACATTTATCTGCATAGCTAAACAACTAATGGTACATTTTTAAAGTATTTCTTATTGTCCCAGTGTCATTTTGGCAATTGAGAACTGACTCATAGATACCCACTCAAAAGACTCTGTGACAAAGCAAACCCTGAAACGGGAAGAGGAATGCTGACCACCTGAAGTGCTAATTCTTCTTGTCCAGCCTGTTTGAAAGCTGTTTGAACCTCTGGTTCAATGGAGTTAATTCACAAATCTTTAGAGAATCTTTATAACTTTTATATAATAATTGTAGAAGTGGAACAAAACTATGAACCACCTAGGGCAATCTTCTTTCTATAACAACTTCTAAGTGTCTCCATGGATGGCATAAATTACTTGCAAGGCACAAAGTCATGGAACAGTTTAACCATGGGAGAAGTCTTTTCCTAATGCCAACTAATAATCAGTTTTGCACCAAGGCATGAGGTTTTCTTGTCTCAGATACAGCATATTTATTCAGTGAACTGACTGAGAGAGTGCCCTTCCTCCCCTTCACTGTTCAAGGGTGACAGTTTGTGGGTCCTATCAAGCAATAGCTTTAATCTCCAAATTGTGTTGACTGTGTATGCAACACCCCTGTGTCCAGGTTTTTTGCCAAGGAGAGACAAAATCTATGTTATGTGTTCTTACCCCAGAAAAAAATGAACTCCCCAGTTCTTCAGTCAATAGCATAAAACACAATTACAAATATTCATACGCACCTAATAGCTGACTTTCATAGGAATGCTTGATTTAGCCCTGAGGTATCTTGCACCTGGACTTCCAAGGGTTTCCTTCTAAAACAAACACTGCAGCTGTTGAGAATAAATTCCACTTGTTCTCGTCATCATTTCCTGATGCTTTCTTCCTTCAATCTCTCCTGTTTGCTTTTTTAACTGCCTGTAATATATTTGAACAAAAGGATAGATGTGAAACCCCTTATTATCTTCCTTTGGGGTTTCTGGATGGGTTAAAATGAAAGAAGTGGCATTGCATGCCTATGTGTCTGAGTTCAAACCTCCCCTGACTAACAGTAAGAATATTGCAGTTTGCAATTATTTTCATTCATGAAAGAGATAAACAAATCTTTCTCATGATGGAGTGCCAGATTCAAAATAATATTTTTGGTCTGGCTTTTTTTTCTTCATATACTTCATATACATATACAGACCCCACATGGTCTGGCCCTTGTGTCTTACTGCAAGTTTGGTAACTGACATCAGCCTCTAACAATGTAGCTAGTATTCCTTGTCCTCACATTCTGTTCCATAATGGATGTAGTTTTCCTTCTTTTATTAATAAAACTTCTGTAGTACTATTTGCTATGTACCCATGTCTAGCTGAAAACTAATGCACAGAATTTTCATGTGAAATGATATTTCAAATGATGACTCCTACTACAGTATCCATCTTTCCTTCAAAAAAATTTATGTAACCAGTGATACTTTTGTTCTTTTTGTTCACTTTGCTGATGCTTGGAAAATGATGTAAGGTTTTGCATTTCTTCTCATGTGCTGGTTATGGCACTGAATTTTGCTGTTTGCAATTGCATGTGAACTTTTACTTGGTTAGTATTTTTTCCTATGATGAGGAGCTCCTAAAGCCTTTCCTTTTAGTTATATTTTGAAGTTATTAAAAGAGTATTCATTGTCAGAACTCTGTTGACCTTCTATAATCTTTGACATCAGACAGATGACTGTTTTATATTGGTTAACGCTAGTTATTCCAGTAGTTATTTCAGACCTGTTCCTTCCAAACCGCACTATTTAACCCTTCAGCTTCATCTTTCTACCTTCTGTTTGATAGAATTTCACTCAGAAGTGTCATATAACTTCTGATAAACCCATTTGTTACAGTTGCCTTCTTAGTCCTCTCTGCAGGAGTTAAATGGAAAATCAGACAGAACTTGAAATTAAAAACTACAAATACATCAAGGCTAGCTCTGAATAGATATTGTCATCTTTTTTTTTAGTGGGACTCTTGTTTGCAAATATAGATGAACCTTTCTTGGTTCATCTGGTTCTTTATAGTGTTAAGTGATCACTCACTGCTTAAGATACTGCAGGATTTAAGCTTTATTCCGATGAGTGAAGGACTTCAGCTCTCTCTGAATAATGAAATCTGCTTTGTATTGCTTCCTCTGAGAAGCTTAACTGTGAGTGTATATCTCCAGCATAAGAGAATATGCCACACCCTGCTCTGTAAAAATTTTTTCAAGAATTAGTGAGCAAGATCATAATCCTTGATATGTTACAGGAGCCAAACTAAACAGAGGTTTGAGATGAATATGCCGAGATCATCTCCCAGTGCGAGAATAGAAGACTTTCAAAATAATCATGATAACAATAATAAGAGTAATGATAGTAACAATAACAACAACAACTCTAATTTTTATTAAAAAAAACAGTGGGACATTTAACTTTTGAAAGAGAAAAATAAAAGATCACAGGGAGACAGAATAGGTTTCTTTAAAAAAAATTAAAAAAAAAAATTAAAAAAGCTTTTCCACTTCCCACTGTGGCCTAGAAGGTAGGTCCCATACTTGTTTTTAATTAGTTTCCATAACCTTCAGAGTTTTGGTAACACTGCATCCTCCTCCAGTCACCGACACATTCTTTCTGTCACATCTGGCTTCCATGGCTGCTCACTCAGCATTTCCTAGAGCACATTTCCTTTCCCTACAGCCCCCAGAAATCCCCTCCCTCACCCTCTAGAGGGGCTCACCTGAATGTTTATCCTAAAAGGAACATAGTGCAAACTGAGAAATAAACAAAACCAACCTACTGTCATCACAGGCCCTTTGCCTATAGTTGAGAGAAGAGAAGCATAAAATTCACAAACACAGTAAATTGCAGCAGTGTTTCATTATGTTCTCTGGGGTCTGCTTTTCACTTCAGGCTATGGGGTTTTTTTTTTGTTTTAAGTCAAAGATTCATGAAATGTGCATTATCCAGTGTAAAGTCAGTTTGGCCTTCAATCCACCTGCTGGATTAAAAGTGTTACCCTTCCAAGTACACAGTTGTTTTTAATTACCCCTTCAATGAAGCTGAACAAACGGCAGTGAGGTCAGACTATCCAGCATGGCTCATAAGTTTTATGAGCTATACTGCACACCACAACAATATGTGCAACCAGCTCTCACATAACAGCACACTAGCTCTCAGCCAGATACTACTTTTACTGCAGATGGTCCTAACTGCATGTCTTGCATGGCTGTTGTGTAAATTAAATATTCACCATTTACATTGTAAGCAATGTAAGCTCCTCCCAAATCTTCGTTCACGAAGCCCAGCTACGATGATGATGATGAATGTAAGCTCCCATTACCATAGCTTTGTCCTAAATTCAAGCAGTGCTTGGTACTTTTCACCTGTAGCATACATGCATTCTGTCATGAGAAATTTAACATTGTCCATGAAAAAGGTAGTCTAAATATTTAGGGACTATAGTGGAAACAGCCTCCTATCCCTTCCACATGGGTTTATTGTGAAGGTAACAAAGACACAGGTTGCTCGTACTTTTTTCCCGGCTCTGTGACATGTTTTGCTTTCAGATGTCAGACTTTTGAAGCTCTCTTTTCCACTCAACATACCTTCTCCATTTCTGTATTTTCATTTCTTGATAAAGTTCTTAGTTATTTGTTCAGCACCAACAGCTTAGGGACATAATTAGTGCTTGAACTGTTCATAGCAGAATGCTTAAGAAAAACAGATGAGCAGCATTGCCAGCAGTTGTTATCTTCCAATCCAGACTTCCATTAGAAAAGTGGTTTTCAAAGTTTCTCTCTATTTTTCATGTAAGAAGTGCTAATAGTGAAATTACTGCTCAAGAGTAAATGTTAATTAGACATGGGCAAAAGAAATCTTTAGGTTTTGCTTTCTCGGGGAAAAAAAAGTGTGTGTAGGGGTAGGTGCATGGGAAGAGAAAGCAAAAAAAAAAAGGAAGGGAGTTTCATTTCCTGCTAGTTCTCACAGCATGGATCAGTGTTTCTTAGTAGTATGGCAATAGTATCCAGAGACTGCAGTTAGGATCAGACCATACTGCTAGGCAATGCATATGCAAGCAGGATACTGCCTGTGTTGAAATAGTGCCACAGGCAATCTCTAAGGTCTTCCCTTGAGGTCCCTCTCAGTAATACACTTCAGAAATCGGACTGTTGCTCCCTTCTCATATAGATGTCCTGGTTTCTATCTCAAGGTTTTGGGATCTGGCTGGGGTGTCCCTGGCACCCAGAGTCAAGGAGGTGGATGATGTCCAATCAGCCAAGATCTCAGAGCAGTAATAAAAATGAAAATATCATATGAAGATGACAAGGGAGAGGGATGGGAAACAGTGAGGGAGAAGAAGTACATTGAATTAATTTGCCTTTTGGAGTTTTGCCCACTGTTTACAGAGATGGTAAGGCAGTTAAAGGAAAAAATGCTGCAAGGATCTAGACAGGGAAACCCACGGGAGAAAGACAGTCTGAAACAGTCTTCCAAATCAGTAAATACAGAAGGCAGCAAAATGCTGAGCTTTTACTGTAATCAATGTCAGCTGCAAGTTGTAACTTCATGCTATTAGTTACAATAGAGCATACTTCCGGAGTGTTACTGTTGTGTTTCTTCTGTTGGCATTAAAATTTCCTCTTTTCCTTTTCCTCCTGCTCCACTCCAGCCCCCACCTTCTGAAACAGGATCAAGTTTCAAACTGCTGTCTGAGACAAAAAAAAAAAAA